ATATATATATGTCTCTGTGTGTATATGTTTGTGTACAACTGTGTATTTGTATATGTTAGTAAAAAAATATTAAAATGTTTGAGTGTCTGCTATTTGCAACATACATACATCCTGTCTGAATATTATATTACTTTTAACCACACTAAGAATATTTAAATGTACTGAACCATTTGGCATAATAGCTATAGTTTTAAAGTTTTCAGAAACAAACAATGTGAAATTTTGTTCAATATTAAGCAAGTTATAGTTGACTAAAATTGATTCAGTGCCTGGTGAAAGCATTACACTGAGCAGAGTAGTAGACCGCCTTCCATACTCCACTGATGCTCCTCAGAAGTCACGTGATCGCTTTACGTCAAGTCAGGCACCTGCTGTCAGACAGGAGGAAAGATGGCGTCGTCAGGGAGAGCTAACCTCCTCAAACGGAACCCTGGCACCATGGCCGTGTTTCTAGGCCTGCTTAGTGTTCTCATCCCGGCTCGGTGCGATGAGCAGGTCCCCGTCATCATGTGGACAAGTGAAGGGTGAGTGAGGCCGACGGTTCTGGGTTTAGACCCGTCCGCTAACCCTTAGCGGTGTCATGGATCTCCGCGGTTTGTCTCAATTTACCTTTAAATTATTAGATTTTAGAGTCGCTAACAGCTAAATTCAATGTGGTGGTTTTGTTTGTTTGCATCTAGTGCAAATACGTATTAAATTAAATAGTCAAGCTTTAAAATCAAAGAGGATGCATGGAATAAGCACAATTTTTTTTAGGTATACGGCAAACCGTTTTGGTTAAAATTCACATCAGTGATAGAGCTTCAAAAAGAACATTTGATAATGATAGATTATACAGACAGACGGGCCTTTACTCTTCACAAATCCCCAAATGAGGTGGGAGGAGGTTGGAGATATTAAACTATCCGGTTTATTTTAAACTGAATTAATGAGCCTGATATTTGGAAGAATCTGTTATCCAAAAATTAAAAGTTTAACTTTAACCAGTTAAAATTTTTTTTTAAAGCTATCTTAATTTTGATCTAAAATTTATATTAAAACTTAATTGTTTTTATTTTTTTAGTAAATGATTTTGAATGAAAAATATAGATATTTGATTACATTATTAATTGATATATTATCTTATGATGTTATGGCTTATTTCTTCCACTGGAAAGAACTAATGAAACTTTAACTATGCAAATTGATATTGCAAAAAGCTGCTCTATGAAGTACTTTTTTTTTTTTTTTTTTTTTTTTTCAGAAGTTACTCTTATAAATGTAAATTATTGCTGTCCGCCTCTGATGCAAACAGCTGTGTTACTCCAGTGACACATTCTTCTGCCATTTATGTTTAAAGAGAACAGAAATGGAGCTGTGTTGTGAGAAAAATAGTAATGTCTTCATAATTGGATTCAAACAGAAAAACATTGTAGAGAAGCTTTGGGATATAAAAATTATTCTTCCTCTGGAACACAATAGCTTTACATTAGCCAGCATCTTCACACAATACTTTTATCTTCCAGTTACAAAATAACTGAATATTTTGTGACCTCTTCCTGTGTTGAAGGATTGTAATAACATTGTGACGTCTCCCTTTCCTTTGAAGCTCTGCCGTTCCCCGTCAGCCTCCACCTGCTGCAGGTCACATCGTCGGGCACCAGCAGCTCGCCTCCTACCTGGAAAAGGCTTTGAACGTTGGTCCCCGAAATGTTGTGCTTTTCCTTCAAGATAAGGTATTCAGCACACTAGATTCTTACCTCTGTTAGAAAGGAATCCTTCTGATGTGCAAAGTCATCAAAAATATAAAATTACTCTACTAGGGCTACAGCTAATGCTTATTTTACAAATTGATTAATCTGTTGAATATTTTTTTGATTAATAATCAGGTAGCCAAATGGTTTTAAAGAAGAAGTTTTTACTAAATTAAACCAGGTGAAACTAAAACCTTTCCACTAGAGGAGTTCTGGATAGAGCATATTGACAGATGAAAAAGTATTTTTTTAATCTTAAATGCACAAAGTTATTTTTTTTATAGAGATATTTATAAATTTCTTTTTTAATAATTTTGGTAAAATTTCAAAGACTATTGTTATAGTTTCATCAGATAGTTTTTTGGGGGGTTTTTTTTGTAATTTATTTTTTTTTTTATTCTGCTCTCCTAATGTATCGATCCAAAGCTTTCAATCAAAGCAGTTTCCATATGGCTTCTGTTTATATATTTTCTGTTTTTTTTTTATCTTTTTCCCTCTAGATGAGTATTGAAGACTTTACCTTGTACGGAGGCGCCTTTGGAAATAAACAAGATGGAGTTTTTCCTAACCTTGAGGTAAGATGTTAAAACTACCGTCATGATCATATTTAAAAAGGCCTGGCCACATATACGTATGACTTTAGGCATTTCTACTCTAGTAGCTCATACAAAGCCTTTCTAATTAAACTATGGTGCCTTGTTGGCGTATTATGATTTATTTCTATGTTTTACACTTTTTTGTCTCATTTTGTTAATAAACTTTAGCGTACCTTTGTAGATATTATAGCAAGATGGGATGTACAGTATTTTCCATGTGTAAACAAGGAGGTAATGGAGTCAAGAATTTTCCAGCGGAGGTGTAAAAGAAAAGAGGAAAAGTTCAAGATCAGAGGTGAAGAAGCAAAAAAATATTGGGTAACAAGAGGAATGAGAATATTATTTGAACATTGTTGTTCACTGAAGCAGCAGCAAAAGCTGCCCTGTTGATGGATGTGATACTAGGTACCACCAGCAGATGGCGACATCGTATAACAACGTCTATGTCCTCTAAACGGTAAAATTCTTTTTAGCCTAAAAAATGAAAGCTATTATAATTTTTTTAAGTTTAAAGTAATTATAATTTTTTTTATGTGTTCTTTAATTTTATTATGAATGAAATTCTCATTGCTTTTATACTGCTTTTTTCCCCCTAGAGTCATTACACTGTCACAGCAATGAAATGACCTCTCTGTATTTAACCCATCCCCTTGGGTAGCAGTGGGCTGCCATTGTGCGATGCCCAGGTAGCAGTGTGGGTTTAAGGGTCTTTGTTCATGGAGCCAGAGTGGCAGTCGGTGGCAGTGGGGCTCGAACTCAGAACCTCAGGCTTCCAGGCGCAATGCCCCAACCACTAGACTGTCACTCAGAACGGTGTCACTTTAAAAATCATTTTCAAGTGAAATTTTTCTGTGATGATTCATTGCGCTTTGCTTCTCTGAGAAAAACAGATTATTTTCAGAACTTTGTTTAACTCTAAACAAAATACAGGTTAATATACATTTTATTTTCCATTAAAGTAAATTAAGAGGAAAAAAATTGCATGAGTGTTAAAAGGTTTTATTTAGAGGCAGAATCCCAGCAGATCAATACTGTTTATGAGACAGTGTTATTCTCTAATACATGATATGGATCTTTTTCAAGCCATTCAGATCTTTTAATATGTCTCTTGTTTATCACAGGGAGCCCTTCAGTCCTCCTCTTCTCCTCTGGTTTTACCTGCTGTATCCTGGCCAGCCTCCAACGCTGTGATTGGTCAGCTGCAGGACCAGTTGGAGACGTCCCCTCTGTATATGGACCCCGAGACCCTGAGCCAGCTGAGACTGAACGCCTCATCGCCGGCTCTGCTGGTGTTCAGGCTGCCTTATGGAACTGGGTGAGCATTCCCAGACCACAGCACCCAGTTGTTTCTGAAATGCTAATTATATTCCCCATCAATTCAATGTGACTAATTCAAACATGTTGGTTAGATCACCATGTCATTATCCTCCTTTTTTTTAGCTGTTTCTTACAGTTTTTTTTAACCTGTCTGGCAGGTCAGATCTGTTGTCTGCTAAAGAAATTCTCAGTGGAAATGGTGAGGCTTTATGATCATGTCTCTGTTGCTTCATTTATTTTTGTTGTGGATTGAATGTCTCTGTGAATCAAAGGTAACATCTGAAACACATTTTCTTGTTTTTTAGATGAGGTGATGGGTCAGGTGATGAGCATCATGAAGTCCCAGTCAGTTCCTTACACGGCCATTTACACGGGCCTGCAGCCGTCCAGGGTGAGTCACAGGGAGGATGGTAAGTGTGAATCCTCCTGATTTTTAGTCCAGCTGTGGATCCTGTATTGTGTGTGTCCACAGAAGGAGGCAGCGTCCCTGTCTATGGAGGCCGGGCTGGGTGGAGGACGCTCGCTGCTGCAGGCCAGAGGGAGATACAGGGACAGAGAAAGGGGACGTCAGCCGGCCAAGGAAAGGCCTGAAGTCTACCCTCCTGTGGAGTTTAAGGTGTTTTTATTTTTTTTCAGTAGTAGTTCAGATAGTCCAAAGTTTTTTTTGGATGGCTAACAGGTTATCATAAGAACAATGCTTTGTGTTCGTTTTAATACCACTGAAGTTTTTTCATATTTTGTCAGGTTATAGAATTAAACTTTGCAGAATTTTTATCAAGATTTTATGTGACAACCAAAAGCAACAGAGATTATTCCAGGATTTATTTATATAAATGTGGTTTCTTTTACCAAGTTTCCATTCCTTGACAAAGAAAATCATCCCACAGCATGATGCTGCCATGGTGCTGATTTCTATCCCCACAAATTTCCCTACAGCAAATCAAGCTATTTTATATATATATATTTTTTTCGTTATCTTAGCAGGGATACATTTTCTGGACATATTTGGAGACACAGCCTCTGTGTTCCTGCCTCCAGGCACTACAGAGGCAATGAAATGGTTTAAAACTGGTGTCTAGTCTGTGGTTGTCTGCCCCGCTCCTTTCCTCCTGCTGTTTCCAGTGATTGTTTTTTGTTTTCCTTGGTTTTCTGCAGGAGGAAGGCAAAACATGCATGATGCTGTGGGCTAAAGGCCTGACTGTGAGCATTCTTCGGAACAATCGCTGGGAAGAGCATGACCTGACCAAGGCCACCTTTGAGGATAAAGACCTCAAACTGCATGGATCTGACTGTGACAAAAGCAAAGCAAAGTAGGAAAAACTGAGTGAAAAATATTGTTGTAGTAATTAAAACTTATTGGATAGTGAAACATTCCGGGATTTCTTTTCAGGCTTTTTTAATGGGTAGATGCCTGATTCAGAATAACATCTTTGTTAATCAGACCAAGGTAAACTATACTAGTGTTCCTGGGGATCTTTTACCCTAAAGTGTCCTTCAAAGCTGGAACAGTCTGGTTTGTGTGTTCACTCTGTTTTAAAATCGTGCCAGCATTAATCTATAGTACTCTCCTCGCCTGTAAACGGTTGTTCTGATGATCCAGAAACTATAGCTTCATTTCTTCCAGCAGCACCCTCCTTTATGAGGTCATTTTTATGAAAGCTGTACATGTTTTTGTGCAGGTAACCGCTGCTGATAGAAGGCAATGGCCGTGTTTCCATCCAAATGAAATGCAAATTTGAGGTGTTTCCATTTCGGTTTGAAGTTAATTAATCAAGCGCCAAAAAGTGTGTTGCCCTCACATGTCATCTTCTACATTACATCGTCATGCATGGCGTTAAGTAAACAGGACGTAGAGGCAACAATCTAACACTGACCACAGATCAGTAACAGAGGAAAGTTTTAATGAACGTGTTGCCATCGTAAGTTTATTTATTTATTTATTTTTTTAACGTGAACGTGTCTATTAGCAATGGAATTGTGGCTACCAGCCCTTTTTACTTTCGTTAAGACGCCGACAGCAGAAGCAGCTGGTCAGTCGTGGGGAAAAAGTTAATGTCAGAACTAATTAGGAAAAGAGTTTCCATCCCCCGTTTTGCCCATCCAACCTTTTTTTTCCGCAAAGACCAGCCAGCCTAGCCTCGTGAGACCATCCTGATCTCGCAAGCTTTCA